TTAACTTAGCCCATTACTCGCCATGGACAAATTGCAGTTAAAAACTAACATCGTTAATAAATGGTGTGAGGATTGGAAGATAAATTTAAACTCAAGCAAATGTTGTGTTGTTCTTTTTAGACGATACAAAAGTGTAATGATCAATAATGAGATCAAAATTAAGAATGAAGTTGTTCCGAGTGAAAGCTCTGACAAATATTTAGGAGTCATTATTGATAACCGGCTCACATTCGCCTATCATGTGAAAGCAGTGGCAGATAAAGCAAATACGGCTTTTCGTGCAGTTTACAAGCCTAATAGGCAAGAACTCTAAATTATCACTCAAAATCAAAAGAACTCTCTGTATCACCTTAATAAGTCCTATCATGCTTTATGCCATGCCATCTTGGGCAACCACCAATAAAACAGAGCGTGCTAAACTCGATATTCTCCAGAATAAAATTCTACTTTCCATAGCGAAAGCTCCCTGGTATGTGAGAAATGCGGATATTCAACACGACCTTAAGGTAAAAGCCATGCACGAACAGATATTAATCCCTTCTGATAATTTCTTCGAAAGTTTAAGTGACTCAGGATACGCCTTTCTCCGAAGTTTGTGTGACTACGATCCTACAATTGAAATCGTGGTAAAAAGACCCCGTACAATACACCATAACGCATCTTGGTAACTGTAAATATGTAAATAGTTCATTTTTCTTCGTATTTAATCAAGTATTCTGTATTCATGACTGTATGTTTAATTCCAAGATTTGAAGTGGAAATTGTGCTGCGTTTTTCGTTGACACGCCCACGTGGGCGTATCTGCGAATAAATTTTAACGTGTCTTCATGTGATGTGACTTTTAAGTGATTGGAAATTCTACAAAATTTTATGAATTTTGTGTTTTTGACCAAAGACGATTGTGTGTAAATGCAAATTATACTAATTTTTATAAACTTTGTGTTTTTGACCAAAGTTTGATTGAACTTTGATGTTTCGGTGCATGTTAAGGACATTACTGATTAATTGAACGCAGACTTAAACTGTTTTCCTATCTTGTGGCAAAGTGCTCTCAATTTAGAATGCTTCTCCTTAAATAACTGCGAATTAATATCTAGCAGAGACTGATGCGAGTTTTTGGAAAAGATTGCTTTACAACTTAAAGATCTATGGAAACCTTTGCTTCCCTAGGACTAGGTTACTCCGAACCTTTTTTCAAGAGTTTTTGAATGCATTCTACGCCTCTGGGTGATTAGGTGTACCAATAATACATCTTCTGTTTGATATAAACGTGAAAGGCCTAAGGCATACTTGATCTATTGGTGATAACTCACAGTAGGTGGTACCAAATGCGAGTGGAAGCTAAAGGTAAAGGTTATAATATGACAGAAATGTAATGCTGTTAAGTGAACCTAGCGCTAGAGTGTCGCTATGGTAAACAAATATAGTGGATTTTAAAAGAGTGCATTTATTCTATTGTGGTTTATGCGCTATCGACGAAGTAGATTTAATTCAATCCAATAAGTTTAAATGAAATGTAAGAAAAATGTGTATAATTTGATATTCCGTACAAGGAAGTCATGTGGTATACACATCAGATTTTTTATATTGAGGAATAGAGGAAGGTGTAAAAAAGTTATATTTCATATTTTACACAAAACTAATTTTAGATATAGTAATTTACAATTTAAAAATAAGAAAACACGAATCTTTGAGTTCTTTTAAACATTTTTGTGATTGGAAGTGTGTATCTGCGACCAATGTTTGCGAAAATAAAGGCCGTGTAAGAACTTTTGTGAACACGGAGTAATGGGAATTTTGAACCTTTTGTAATTAATAAAGTACAATGAAAATTTTGTTTTATTCAGATCATATCATAAGCTAGAATCTGTATTTGGAGAACCTCTCATAAACAGTTTTTATAATACTCCCTTCCTTATTTGGGAAAATATTTCTAACTGGAAATACATGTCTAGGATTAATATTAAAAACATCGAGGCCTTTAGCTCTCTCTATCATGCACTTTCTGTTACTCCACGAAATTTGAATTTTTTAAAACTTTATTACCACTGCTATAAGAACAAATGGCAAAGGTTAATACAATACACTTAGTATATTTGATTATTTCATAACATCACAACATTTTTGTGATAATGAAAGAAAACAAAATGTTAAAACGTATGTTTTTTTTAATGTTACAAAATGTTAAAACGAAAGGAATGAAATGGAGTTTTATTTAGTAAAATATTATACTCGTATTCCCTCTTTTATGGAACTCTAGGTGTTTTGATGTTAGTACATCATAAGAATAATACATCACAAATATAGCTATTAAGTGGAAATGAGTAGTTTCTTTTTTCTGTTTTCCTGAATTTTTGCTGTCTTGTCTGAAAATGATATATATGCGTTTTCTGTAATGCCTTTTAAAAGTTCACGGACACTTTGTAAAAATTATGACAGAAATCAGTTGCGATTGATAAAATTAGACAAATAAATAATTAGGTTTATACTATTCATTTATAAAGAATGCCATTTGTAAATATCAGAAAATATAATTTATGAAATTCTAATAAAGGAAACTCAAACTTAGATTAAAAATGTATCGTAAAATAACACTACATGTTTTTAAAAGTTTCTGCTCATCACTTTCTCTTTCAACAGTGCCCTAATCTTAAACTCATAAATATTGATTTACAAAATTTATACTCTTATATGCTAATTTTACAAAAAGAAAAGAAAAAAAAATATAATAAATTGGGTTTGAAACATGCAAAAGTATTCACAAATTAAGTAAGTATAATTCAAAAATGAAATTCTCTTTAAGAAAGTTTTACTTTTCCCCAAACGTACTTACAAATTTCTGTCCTCAGAAGTCAATAAGTAAAAAAGTCTGAAAAAATGATGCAAGAAGTTGTTATTCTCAGAAGCAATAATAGAAGGTCTGCATTCTTTAATGTGTTGTAAATGAGGTTATAATTTAAGTGCTTTTGCAACATTTTCTATGATTGTAATATGTATCCATTTCTCCTTTCCAGATGTGAAAACAAGATGCATCTCAATCAACAAGACCGACATTAACATTTACATTTCAAATTTACTGTTTTTAGGTAATGGTAATTCCCAGATGAATGTCAAATATAAAGAAATAAAACATTTATTTAATGAATTCTCCTTTCAGAGAAATTCTTAATTAGTGGAATTAATCTCAAAGGAAGGAAATCGATTTTTTCTGCTGATTAATAACTTATTTTACTTAATGCTTCAAGAAACCGAAACAAGGAAGAATTTTGCACATTTACTTTCCAAATGACTATCTCATTATGCAAATGCACAATATCTGGAACTAAGAGAATGATTTTGGAAAAGTTCGGAGTTAGTGCTAAAATGTATTATTTAATGTGCTATTTAACGAAGTGTACATTGAATTTCAGTTACTGATAAATTACCAAATTTTACTACATCATTCTGACTCATAAAATTTCTAATACACTCTTCAGTATAATCGTAGTGGAGAATTCGGGGAGGGAGGCTTGCTATGGGGCTGAAACCTCTCTCAGAGCCAAATCAGAATATTAGATTATTTTTAAATTACTGAAGTTTTCTGTCACCCTAAAAGGGACGCTAGTTCCAAATGGGATATTAGTCTTGAAACGGCATTTTTTTATGAACAAGGCGGTTAGAATAAATGGAGTAAGCCTTCTCCGGATGTCCCGTGCAATGAATTCATGACACTTCTCGCCTTATAATGGCCGCTGCCACAGGCGAACTTATGGTTGGTTTTGATTGCATTCTAATCGATGTTGTCTATGTGTTAGCTATACACGACTGAACGTTTATAAGTTTTCCATTTTAATTTTAATACTTAACATAATTAATTTTCTACTTAGTATACAGAAAAATTACAAGGACTACAAATAATTGTTTCAAATTTAATCCAATCAAGGTACATGAAAATGTGTAAATGGTAAATATAATACAATTGTATACGCGGTTAAAGCTGGAATGCCAGTGAAAGCTTCAACGGTATTTTATGAAAATTAGGCCTAAACACAATTTTCTGATTCTGTGGATGTTGATATTTGCTCTCAAAATCAGTGTAATTTTATTTAACGGTATGTTTCGAAGTCTTATTCGTACGTTGTATGGTGACCATGATGGTGATTTCACTTTTGTAACGTGATGCTTACTCATCTATTCTAACCTCCTTTGTGTTGAATGACTATAAACCGCGTATCATTCTTCCATTTGTTGCCATAAAATATTGTCGGTGTGTATTTGTCGCATGACGAGAACATCGCAGACATGAGTTTTCAGGTTTTAATAATTGTGAAAAGATACTCGCATAATCCTTTGCGAGAGAAAGATGGAAAGAAGGATAACTTTTACTTTTATATTTTTTATTAACTAATAAATATTTGCTGAAAATGTAAACTTTAGCATATAATATTAGTGCAACTTATAGCACTTAATAGAATTTTAAATTGATATAGTACGTCATTATTACTAAATTATTTTTTATAAAGTTTTACTGGTAATGTTTCATGTAAAAGAAAGTTAAGTAACTACATACCCTTATCTATAAGAAAATTGCTATTCTTCACTTTTGTTAATCTGATACTCTTATAGTGAAAATTATTTCTCTTTTTTTAATTTCTTGTTTTGTTTTTATAAATTTATTAGGTAATAAAAACATGAAAGTAAAAATTATCCTTCTTTCCATCTTGCGCTCACAAATCTTTATGCGATTATCCATTTACATTTATTAAAGCCTGAAAAACGAATGTCTGAGATGTTATCGTCATGCGATGATTTGTAGGTACTTTATTTTTTACCGCGCTATTTTCGACGACGACTTTTATAAAATTGCGAAGTTCTTGAACCGCTTTATTTTCGACGACAATATTTTTTTTTTCTTTTCTCCCACGATGTGTTGTGCCACGACGTTTTCGCCTTGCGTTATTTTATCCGCGATGTTTTCGGCTGTAATCCACGATTACAGAAGTTCAGAATAGGATATTAGTTCATAAAGATATTCTATCTTCGTTTTTCTGTTTGGTATCCGGCTCAGGGAACATAACGATTTCGACATCTTGGTCAAATGTTATGAGGATGAACTTCTTGAAAATGATGCCTTCAATAACATTCATCAACAAGTCCATGCTGAATATTTATTAAGAAAAAGACAAATGAAGGAATATTCAGACTCTAAATAGTTGGTTTTCGAAATATTAAATGGATGTGAGAAAGAGATGTTTACCAACTCACACAAGCTTTTTAGAATAGTTGTAGCGATACCAGTGACAAGAGCAACTCCAGAAAGGTGCTAAGGTCCCTAAGAAGTCTGAAGACGTACTTGAGAAATGCAGCAACGGAAAAGAAACTTATCGCTCAACAGAGTCATTTAATTGACAAATTAAGAACAGATATTATAATACAGACATAAATATTAATGAAGTGCTCAATAAGTTAGGCTGAAAGAGCAGTCGTATGTATATCGCCTTATAATTTTCTGTGATATTCTAATTTGTTTAGTTTAATGTTTAATATCAATGTATGTTGTTGTAACGTTTAATAATTGAAAGTATCTGGTACTATTTTCTTTACCGATCACCGTCAGGTCTTTAAAATGTAAGTTAGATTTTTTTCCATAAGACATAACCCGATACATAAATTTATGATAATATATTAAGGAAACACCTTCATTCATTCCAGGATAATTTGGAAACGGGACGACAATACATAATTTTAATAACTTTCACCTCTTCCTTATCAAACTCCTGGAATCGCCAAAGAATGATCGTAATATAAAATGCTCAGATAGCAATAGACAGTTTAGAAAATTTCAGTGTTTTCAAAAACTCAATATGTGATCTCTGGTGTAAAAAAGCATCTCCCATTGCTGGTAGGAAACCTCTCTTATCACCGATATAGTTGCCAAAATAAACGTAATTTCTTCCCTCTACTCAATACATTTGCTTTAAATAAATTTAAAAAAAAACAAGAAATTTGGAAATAAGACACATCTGAAACTCACAGTGAAGTATTTGATTTATATTGTCTGAACTAATAACAAATTAAGTTGCTGAACATGTTCTCATATGTAAAACAAAAACAAGCAGTCCAAAAAATATCCAGATTTAGGCTTACTCTATAACCTTTTGTTCTGAAATTTTTAAAACTCTGTACGCGATATATCTGGTACAATTATAATGCATAAAAATGTATGCCTATTTTTTCTATTATTTCACTTAAGTGTAACAAATAATTTAACTCCCACCATAGACGGAATCTGTGTTTCTGCTTAAAGAGAGGCCAATTTTACAGCATGATTGATATTATTAGAACATATCTCTTGTCTCTTGTTTTCGCCACAATGTTACATTTACCAGACGTAGGTTTCTGATTAACACAATTACTACATCGTTGTCATTTCTCTATCGTATAAATGGTTGATTCACTTGATTGCATTTATGATTTTTCTTATTTATTTTATTTATGTGATTCTGGTCAACCGATTACGATTATTCATTTGAGCGTATACATTGCACTGAAAGGTATGAAATATTTGTTCACAAATTTCAGAGAACATGCCGCTAATGTGAGAGCTACTAAATCTTTTAATCCACTTTTTTCCAACAGTAATTCTAAGACTTTGTAAATTATTATACTGAAATACAGGAGCACGTTCTTTACTTACCTGGCAAAGATGTCAACTGCAGTTTGCAAGGATCTGATGGACCCATAGAGTTCGTACTTATACAAGAGTATCGGGCAAGATTTTCGTTGTGATCCTCATTAGTTAACACCAACGTACTCTCATGCCTTCCACTTCGTCGTACGATATCTCGGTCTCCGTTCAACGATACATTGTCCCGGAACCAGGAAAAGTTTGTGACGGCCGGATAAGCAACTGATCGACAGATAAGAACAATATTCCTCTGGTCATCATAGTCCTTCCTAATGCTGCACTCCGGCCTGTCTGCAAGAAGATTCAGATTTAAAGAATAAGAACATGCAAGAAAACTAGCGAAATTATTTCCTCTCAAATGTAAACTTTAAGTAAAATATTCATAATATTGGTTGTTATATTCCTTAATAACATCGCAAGTTGCCTCACATTCCTCTGCATGACATTTTGGACATGCTTAACATGATCTGATAATAATGCATTTTTTATTTTATATCTGACATTTTAATTTTAAATATTTTAATAAAACACAGGAAATAAATTAAGAATCTTTAAAGTAAAAATTATATTTATGATTTAAATTGTTAATTTATAGTAATAAGATGTCGAGGTCATTTAAAAATCATATCATATATTGTATATGAGTGGCTAGCGCGTCGCGCAGCTGCACCACTGGTCCGGGGTTCGATCTCCGGGATGGCCAAAGTTGACTAAACCTTTCTTCATTTGAGTGGGTCGATAAAATGAGTACCAAGTTCGCTTGGGGACTAAAGACCGGGGTCTTGCGATTACTTCTCACTTGCCCAGGGCATATACTGATGCACTCCGGGGCCCAAGGTCAATAAAGCATTTTTCGGGGCACTGCAGGCCGTGGCCCACTAAGGCTGTTGCACCACTGAGTCTTAGTTTATTTTACTCGTATATAAAGCTTCGTATCCATGCTCTAAAATAAAGACCATAAGCAGATGGGGCAAATGGGAATCAAATATTTTATTTTTTATAATGATTATAATTTTTTTTAAATATAAGCATTGAGTCAGAAAACCGAAAGGTAGAACGCGTAAAATTAATATTTCTTCATTTAAAAGTGCCAAAGCACGTATATTTGCGTCATTTAAAACTTTTATGTGACTGTCTACGACCAATGATTGTGAAAGAAAAAAAGCCGGGTATTCATTTTCGAAGACATAAAGATTATATATAAGATATACAATATGAAATAAAATTACTAACTTTAATTTAACAATAGTATTTATAATTCCTGATTTTACTTTGGCTACGTCCCCTTCTTGGAATCTATGGGTCATTTACGCTTGCGAAAGTTAGATCGCCTAAAATTCATATTTCTTAATTTAAAAATGCCAAGGCATAAATATTTGCGTCATTTAAAGCATTTTTGTGATTGGCTATGACCAATGGTTGTAAAAATAAAAGCCGGGTACGAGCTTTTCAAGATACAGAGTCTAGATATGATATGATATAAAATATGAAAGAAAAATTTTTACTAACTTTAATTTATCAATGGTCCTTTTAATTCCTAATTTTATTCTGGTTACATCCCCTTCCTGCGATATATGCGTCATACCTGAAAACTAATCCGCATTTTGTCATTTTTAATCCTGCTAGGTAGTTATGCTCTTGTTCACTCGCAGTCCAAAATTTAAGCGAAGCAATTAACACTGTAATTACGCTTTGCTGAGATGCCTCCCTTTCGCTGTGCTAACGTGCATTCTCCTTTTTAATCTCGAAATGTGATAAGTTGTATATAGAATTACGGGTCACACTATTAGTGATGTGTAAACCAAGATTATATGTCCTAAGAAATTATTCGTCAAGAAATAAAAGTATGTGGTGAATCTGCAGCTACTTTTGGTCTCCAAATTCAATCCGCCTCTTAATGCATTTTAACCATAGCCAATAACATTTGTAACCATCCGGGCCTGACTAAAATTAATTGGTATTTTCTCTCTCACACATCCTAAAATACTGCTGTCTTCAGATTATAAAACCAACATCTACAAAATTATCACACACACACATATGTGTCTTATACACATAATTATTTATGCGTATTTTTGTTGATGTGTGCAATGAATATTTATGGCCAGAGGAATCTTTCTTAACTAATAGTTGATATCTTGTCACTTTATATAAAATACTTAACCGTCACGATAAATATTCTGTCTGATTAAGGAAACAAGTGTATTATTTTTAACTCTTTAATGCAATTTTCTAGCTGAAATATTATTTGTTTATCACGCATTGTTATACAATGTGCTATTACAATTCGCAGAGCTGTCAGTGAATCTTTTCTATAATTTTTTAATTTTCTCATTGATAGTACTGTAATTTATTTATTTTCCTTAAATGATTTCTCATGAAAGCAGAGAAAAGAAACACAGTTATAATTTACAGCAACTTGATTCCCTTAATTCCAAACTGTATATTACATTTGGAATAAAATAAACAGCAATTTTTCTTTAAAAGTGTACTTAAATACTTAGACATTAATTTTAATCCATTTTGGGTGGAGAAATATTTGACGATAATTTAGAATCATCGAAGATCAAGAGGCTGAAACAAATGCCCAAGAAAAGCAGTAATCAGCATTCGTAGGAGAATCTAAAAACAGCTCTGGGAACAAAATTAAAAGAATAAACGAAAAGCTTCTAAATAGGCAAATATAATAGTGATCAAATCCACATAATTTTATACATACAAATGTAAGAAAATCTCATGGTCATATTTAAGTCCTGTTAATATAAAAGCTAACATAATCTACCTAATCCTACTCGAGTTTCAGATTTAAAGGCTCTGAAGAAATGATTTTTGTTTTAAGAAAATTCGAGGCAAGCTAAATAGATAGTATAACATGTTTTTAAATTTTGCAATGCCAAAAAATAAGATGGGAAATAAAAATATCAATAATAAAGAATATTTAGAATTACAAAATTTTCAAACAATTACTCTTTCCGTTGATTTTAAGAAAATATATCGGATAAACTATATTAGTTTTGGAAAAAAAAAACCAAACTACTCTTTTTAAGGTTTCCTGTCACAGCATTAAGAATGGTCCTTTATTTTACTCACTCTATAGCCTATATTTAATTCAATCATACAAATTAAATTACCTATTTGTTCAATATTTCTGATATGTGTAATTCCCTAAAGACATGCCAGTATCCATTAACCTATAGATAAATAGGAATTTCTTCACCAGAATTGATTGCCCAATTTTAAATTTTGAATTTAAATCTCGATTCATGGATGTCTAGACTAGGAAAATAAAACAATATATGTATAAAATGAATACGAAACCTAATATTATGGAAATCTGTCTTTTTTTAATTTATAAATGTCTGAAAAGAATTCCTTTATCAAATATAAAATGCCTTTATCGAAATTTTATTTTTTATTAGAATGCTTTCATCAAATATAAAAAATATTTTCTTGTTTCATTACTTACCTATTTTTATTTATGACTAAAAATTAAACTAATAAAAGAAAGAGTTAAAGACGGGAGTTAAAATAGTCTTCAAGTTTTTTCTTCGATGAAAATGAATTAAAAATTACGTAACCATCCATCTTTGTCATAGTGTAACTTTTCTTTTTTATTTCGGAAGCCTATTGGCATTTCTGTTTTCATTCATGAATCATTTTTTTAGAAGTTTGGCTGGCATTTTGCGAGAAGCCTAATATATTGTTTTTAAGAACCAGACGGGTTTTTGAATGTAACTTCGGATAGGAGTGTCCCGCATCATATCTTAAGAAAACTAAAATTTGGAAATTAGGGGCAGGTCACCAAAACCATCCAAGCAAGTAATTAAGAGGATAAAAAGGCAAAATTTTGAAAACGTAGCTCTGAAAACAGCTGATGAGAACATAGACATGCCCACGTACCAATTGCCTTGGACATAATATCCAGTCTTGGGAAGTCCAGGCTTGAAAATCCAGTCTTGAAAAGGGGGTTCAGTCACTCCTGACGCGATACAGGAATCACATCGTCTGTCGATGCTGAGGACAAGTTTGTCAAGGAGCTGTTGAAAAATCGTCTCCGATTCTTCTTGTAGCTCTAATTTCGGCTGCTTATAATTAGTCACGTGTTGCCGTCTCCCGAGAAGGTCCCATACCAGTTCTATGGGATTTAGACCTTGCAAGTCAAGCAATGCTTTAAATATCTTCCCTCTCCAAGAGCACCACTACAGTTACTGTACAATAAGTTGTAACGTTGTCGTCCATGAAGAGGAAATTTGATTCCACACCTCTAAACTGACACACATAAGCAAACAGAAACTCGATACAATAGTAAAACCCAAGAAGGGAACCTCTTTGCGAGATGTAGTTAGTAAGATACAAACCCCTAAACGAGAACTCCAGAGCCTTCGAAACAGTTCTTTTCGATGATTTTGGAGGGATGATTCCATGTTCATTTCCCTGTCCAGATGTTTATACGTCGAGCATCTCACGTGGGACTAAACTGGCTCTCATCCTGAAACATCTCTCGACCCTAATCCGTTTGTCTTTAGTTCTTACATTCACGGAGCCACTGGAGACGTTGTCTCCGATAAGAAGGCCTTAACGGCACAAAAAGTACTGGTCGTGCATATATACCACGTACGTGCAACTTCTCAGCCAAAATAAAGCACGATATAAGACATTCAAAAGTCTATTGCATGTGTCTTGCGTTATCTTACTTTGTTTCCCGCTTATACCTCCTCCCCAGCAGGATAATATGCTGGTCTTCCACCTCCATTGGTACTGGCAAACGACAACAGAACGGCTAGAATAGCTGTTCTTGCCGTTTAAATTATTCTCCAGCCTTGCGAAACGATGCTATGAGCGGCTCCGAACTCCTTTGTCACACTTCGACTTCTTTCAAGTTCCCAATCAAGGATGCTCGGGTAAAATCATACAGATTATGTCTGTTGTATTTCCTGTTGGCCGGATCACACAGTAGTGGTAACCAGACGTCGTTGAAATCGCTTTATACCGAGCAATAGCATTCAGCGAATTGCTGAGCATAAACCACCCTATGCGACACTCCTTCTGACACTCCCCCCTTTAAGTCATGTGGTATATATGTGCCTGTTCTTTCGTTACCGGTCCCAAATTTATTTCTCGATTCGTCTTTAGGTCAATCCTGTTTCCTTGGTCCACATTTGAGCCAGCTTCTCCACCTCATCCTTAATTTCTGCACACCAGTGTCTTTTAAAATTGCTGCTGGTCTGATGCTGCCAATTTTACCCAGCTTGCTTCATACACACATGGAAGTAAGGTACATTGTAAGAAAG